GCACCTTTGAAAGACGATTGTGAAAAAGGAGCCGGTTGGATATACTTGTTATTTTGAATTGATTTCTGCCAGGCGCCCAAGCCATGCAAGCTTGGTCTCCCTCGGACAGGTTGTCTTTTCGCGGGTCCGGTGACTAGCATCCGAACACAGCATTCCGCCGGCATCAGTCTGCTTATCCCCAAAGCTGAGCAAGGAAAGAGGCTCAATCCTGCGTGCCAATTCTGGATGAATATCCTTTAGTCTTCACTCCAAAGCTCATCCCCGCAAAGCACGATGCCACACTTCACCAACTGCTTGGCTTCTTTGTCCGTGAGACTAGGTGGTAGAACCCAGGAAGGATACGAAGCAAACAACCAGGAAGGCGGACAAAGTCGCAAGACTCAGAAGAAGCAGAAGCAGAAGCACAACAGAAGAGCAACAAAGGAAGAGCATGAAGAAGGGACAGAAAGAGCAACAATAGCAAGAAAACCAGCAACACAAAGACCAAAGAAGCAAGAGATAATGATGAAGAGGGTAGGACCAAACCACAAGATCAGAATAAACAGCACAAACACACAACAACTTCTTTGGCTAGCCAGCTCTGACTAGCTACCAACAAGCTCCGATCTTGGAGTTGCGCTAACTAAAGGAAACGCACACCTCAGTCCAACAACAATTCAAGTGCACAGCGCCTTGTCAAGAAGACAGTAGTCTTACCTAACACCCGGTCAGCTTCCATGAAGCAACCAACAAGTACACTCCAATTTGTGGTTCTGACCGTAAGGCAAAACGTACAGCAACTTACCGACCGACCGACCAAACCAAGCAACACCTCCACTCGTCCATCCGCAGACACTTTGCACATCCCCTTACATGACTCCAGCGACAAAAAAATGACGCGCGTTGGCCGTTCTTGGAAGCCTCCGGTTTGCTCTCGGTAAGAGTGCGTAAGTCATCCACTCCCTCTTCTCCGATCCATCCCAAACCCAGTTCTTCGCTAGCTACCAAATGGCCCGGTTTTACCATGCGAGGGTAGCAAGATACCATACACACAACCAAGATTTGCCGCTCCTTGGGTCCCTTGCTGCCAAGGGGCAGGGACAAAATGGGTCGAAAAATCCCCCCCCCGCCAATCAACCCTTCTTCAGGCAAGTTGGTAGTAAGTCTACCACTAAATATGTTGTATTGCACCCCTTGTATACATATACATGTGTATATATATATATATGTATATATCAAAATATGTATTCACCCAAGAAAAACATGCAAGCATAGCCCAGAACTCCGTCCCCGGCTTTTCCTTGCCGCCTCGCTCGCTTTCTCGCTCGCTCGCTTTCTCGCTCGCTTTCTCTCTGGCCTCAGGAGTGGAGATCTCCGCTTCGACCTTGGCGGCCACGAACTCCGCGGGCTCCAACTTCAGCAGCTCCTCGTACCTCGCGGCGTCCGCGTTGAGACAGCGCCGAGCCCCGCTCGCCCCGAGCAAGAAACGGCGGAAGGGCGGCCGAGCGGGGGGTTCAACTAGGCCGGCTTCCCCCGTGTGTTGGTGTGTTGGTGGTGTGGTGGTGTGGTGGTTTGGCGGTTTGGTGGTGAAACGGAGGGGCTTCCCATACTTACCCTTCACAAGAACAACAATAACCACCGACCGGCGGTTGCCTGGCTATGGGCTCCGTGTATATCAGCTTCCCTCTAGGAGCTTTGAGCCACCCGGAAGTCGCGGGGCTCGGGCTCTGAAGTCGCGAAATCCATGTCGCACGCACGAAACGACGCCATGAAGTTGAAACCAGAACGTCTGTTGGTGTTTGCAGGGGCATCCAATCATACCAGGGTTTGTTTTGGCGGTGCAGAATTTAACCCATCCACAGTATGGGCTCCTATCAGTTTCCTCTCTACTTAGTGGTTTGGAGCCCGGTGGTTTGGTGGCTGGGGGTGGTTCTTCCTGTATCCCCTACAGAGGCTGACTATATGCTCAGCTAAAATTGGCCGAGGGATCCCCGTACATTGTTGATCGCTGACAAGCCCGCCACTGCCCGCCACTGGTGAAGTCATTTTGTTTAAAGGGGCACCTGCAAACGACGAGCGTCCCTTAACGGACACACGTGCTACCCCTCCTGCCAAAAGTGGCTGCAGAAAAAGACGGCCAACCGGGAGCTAGTTGAAAGTTGGGAAGGCCAAATGGGGACCAAAACACGCCGGTTCGGATCCTTTCCTAGAAAGGGGTGTGGGGCCGCTTAGCTTTGACGGAGGGGATATGCGGGTTTTCTTTTACCTTGATGTTTGACAAAACTGAGTGGGTTCACCTCCGGTTGCATACGTTGCGAATATTCTAAGCCACGCCACCCCATTCTGAAGAGCTAACCCAATTATCCCCCAAAATGGATGCAACAACAATTGCCATCGAAGCAGTCCACCCAAGCAAGGCTAAAACTCAACTGTTCCCATTCTCTCCCTTTGCCGACTCCCAGCAGCCCACCAGGCATCTCCCAAGCAGGGGCGGTCAGCCTTGTCTTCTTGTTTTGCCCACACCCATGTCATGAATCATTGCCAAGGCGACACTGACAAACATAAAGCCCGTGGCTTCACGGCAAGCATTGAAGCACCCTCCTGATGGCACCGCGGGCCCCGCAGCAGCCAACCCACCAAAGTGGTGCCCGCGATCCACTTCTCCACAAGCTTCCAATTCACTTCCTCATTCTATCAATGGGGGCCCACGCAGCAGCCCACGCAGCAGTTGTCATCACTTTCGGGAGGAAAGACCGGAAATCCTAGAAAATTGGATGCTTGGAAAGAATGGGTTTTAACCGAAAATATGACCTCATACAATACTTCCCCATTCTTTCTGGTTTTCCAATTTTCACCCAAAACAGATGCAAAAGCGAAAAAAACATATAAACAGGGACACACTGATCTTTGATCGAAAGAACGATGCAGGGGGACAGAATGATGGGATGGGGAAAGAAGGGAAATAATGATGGTTGTTGGGAAAGAACGATGGTTGGGGAAAGGACGATGGTTGGGAAAAGAACGATGGCCCTGGGGAAAGAACGATGGTTGTAGGGAAAGAACAATGCCCCGGAAAACAGAACGCTGCCAGTAAGATCGATGGCCTGCAGCGGCATGACTTTGGCAGGTCAGGGGAAGGGGTTGTCTAGTCTATTGGCCCTACCCCTAGCCTGCGGGACAACTTTCTGCATGCGTCAGTGCTCGCTGCAGAAAAAATCAAAAACTGAGCCGAAACCGGCTGGAAAGACCGATCGTTGCACTGATTGCGCGTGTGACGAAAGAATGGGGAATCAGCCCTTATCGCTAGTCGCTAATACGGAATTAAAACGGTCCCCAAAAAGGTGTTTCGTCTTCTAGCTTCATAGGTTTTGAACTTCCATGTCAATCGAGGAGCCGCGCGGCATTGCTTCAATTGTGATGGGTTGTCTGGCTTGGGTGAAACGAATCCGTCGGAGTCAAAGGGAGCCCGTGACTTTTGGCGGGTGTTGCAACCAACAGCTCTTGGTTGACGTTGGAAGGGGAGCAACATACAGTTTTTTAGCATTTAAGTGGGGAATTGTTTTTCTTAAGCCACAAGAAGCAAAAATGTAAAATGTTTCCCAACAACAACCATGAGCTGAGGCGTGTACGCACTTTTGAAAAATGAGGCCGCAAAATCGAGTAAGCCCCATACGGATTGGATGCCAATGGCGCAGAGACCGACCAATTGGTTTTGGAGGACCCCACTCGACCCCACTTGGGCGTCTAGTGTGTTCTCACCCTACAAGGGGATGGAGCCCAATTGTTAACCTTCTCAAGTGGGCTGAACACCCAACTCCAAGTCGCCTGCCTTGCCCTGTCCTACCGCGATACGGATATCGCGGACACTGCTTCACCAACCCGCAGAATGGGGTTCCTATTGCATAGATTTGCTCATTGAATATCCTCAGCCCCCCAAAAGGAACCTCACCTCAAGTTGGCCCAAAAGGAGATACTCAAAAGTGTAACGCAAGAGGCGACATATGACTTCTGGTTGTGTCTTCCCTTTATCGACCCAAGAAGGGCACCCTTTCATTTGCTTCATTGAGTCCCCTGGTAAAAATACACATGTCGGGGATAGATTCCTCTTAAAACCAACAGGGGGAAAAACACAAACATTCATTTCAGCACATGGAAGGCAGCAAAGAAAAACCGATCCGCAATCGAGAGGCTTCCACCTCCAATCCCAGGTTCCCCCAAGGTTCCCCCGGATGCGAATCGGATCGAATCGGTGACGGCGCACGGGGCGAAGAGTTCGAGGTACTGCTGCAGAGACGGCAGCGCCTGCGTTCGAGCCCGGGCAGAGCGCGGAGCCTCTGGACCCCGAGGATCACCCGGACAAAATGAACAAACTGCCGTCAGGTGAGCGACGGAGAAACACAAGCGGTTCCCGTAAAGGACATGGGCAACAATTGGTGCGTCCCCCTGACCTAAGGTGATCAGCCACACATGGACCAAGGGGCCGCCATTTTGGCGAAGTTTCGCTTTAAGCGAGTTCCTTCTTCTGGAAAGTGGGTGTCTCTCATTCTCGGATTTCGTCCCCTCACGATTTTGGCCGAAGCTCAAAACGAAGTGACTCCCGGCTCGCCAACCACAACGTCATCTTGATGCTCGGAACCCTGGGGTCGGTTTCCCAAGCTTCCACGGGTGAGCATACACCCCCCAAAGGATTTTGTTGCTTTTAGAGGCGCTCATGGCTTGCAGCCGCCATGGCAATTACGCGTTCAAAAGTACTGAGTCGTAACAGTATATTGAGAATGAACATCTCATGCCATTTCTGCATGTTCTGCATGGCAGTTCTTGAATTGGCTGCTGCCCGGAAGTAGCTAATTGTTGATCAACTGGACTACCAGTATATAACCAATAAGGGGCTGGGAAACACAACAGGTAACAGCACCTCATCTGTCCAGAAAACCAGCGACAACGCCCTCACCTCCTCACCCCATCACCACTAAAACCACGCGACACGAGCAAAACGCGCTCTCTCTTGCTCGTCTTCTTTTCCGCCCGCGCTGTGTCCAGCCACGGGCTCATCATGCCAATCTCCTCCTCCCTAAGGATGTCCTCGGCCCATTTTCTCAAATGACCATGGGTCAAAACCCAAATTGTACCCCCCAGTGAACATCCCAATCCAACCACTAAAATGGGTGGTACACCTACCTGAAAATGGTACCATTGCTTTTGACCCACGGCCAAATGTGCGGCGTGGCCTTTGAGGGAGTAGTAGAAACTCTTTGCTCCAGCGTCGCCATGCTAGAGAGTCCAATTTGAGAAAGGCATACCATAAAATAATCGCATGCTGTTCTGGCTGGCGGGGAAAATGCGCATCTTCACCAAAGATTTGAAGGCTTAACAGGGTTCCGGTAGAATGATACATTCATAAACCACCTGTTTGGTACGGATTGAGATCGGCTAAATCTTCGCGAATTTTCAGCTGGCCCCTGATATCCCGTTTAGCCACATTCATATCAGCTTGCACCTCTGGAAGAAAGCTGTTGCCGCCCCATCATGTCTACTCGAGGCCGTTCAAGGGTCACGACCCTATAACTAAGGCTGAGTCCCTACACCGCTGCTGAAGGTTGTTGAGCTGGCAGAAGACTTCGAAGTAATTCACCTCAGCTCGCCCACAAGCCAGCCGAGCGGCCGGCCAGGTGATGTCCCGAGATCCAAGTGAAGCAAACAGTTCCTTGGAATTTACCGTAGGTGGCTGGGGCGGGTTTCAAACAAGAAACTGTGCACACAGTTCAGCCAGCCGCTGGTTTTTGAATTTCTGGTGGTGAGGCATGCTTGCCGCAAATTTGCGTGTTGAATTGCGAGCGGGGTGTTTTTGCTCATGCGGCGACGTATCAAAGTGCCACCTCATGAACCACAAGTTCCACCATGCGGACATTGGCCCCGTCTCCCGGCCGCTTGAATGAGCGGACAACACAAGTCGCCTCTTTGGTTGTATCAAGCCTTTTCCTCGCCTGTGATCCAAAACGCTGATACCAACCACGGCTTAGGATTCTTGAGTTGCGAATTGTGCAAAGCTTCGCCCAACATATGCGCCCTTGGCTCTGAAGTGCATCAAACAACTTTAGTGACAAATTGCGTCGCTACACTCAGCTGTTCAGTGAGCTTGAAAAAAAGGGGAACCCTTTGTGGGGAAGACCATTTTTAGTGGGGCAGCCACCAGAAACAGGGGGAAAAGGGCGCCACTGAACAACTGAGTCCCTTCCGACTCAACCGGCACCAGGCAGTTTCCCGGAGTTTCGCCAAGCTGCATGGAGCACCTTGGCGACTGCCGGGCCAGACAGGGACTTGACCTGGGCGGCGTCTGGATGGTCAAAGCGACCATGACAAAACGACCCTCGAAGCCCCAAGACTCCAATCGGAGCTGAGTGGCCGGAGATTTTTTTGGACCGCGCAAACAAAAACCCCTCAGCCAGCTACGGGACATATGCCAGCAAAACTTATGACTCCCATGGCAATCGAATAGGTATCCGCGCCGTGAGCCTTCCAGGGGCAACCTGAACTCCTTGGCAAATGTCGAAAACACCGAAATGCACGTCTGCCAGTAGACTGAGACCAAACCTGCAACTTCGGTCCTTGGCGACCTGAACGTCAAGACCCAGAACAGAAGGATGCCGGGGCCCTGGTTGCTTTCCCAGCTTTGGTGGGTCGCCGAATCCGAATTGCATGCCGTGAGCGGTCAGAATGCGATTGCTATTTGCTCAGAGGTTTGCACGCATAAGAAACTTCTTTTGAGGACTGTTTGCACCGTGGTTTAACGGGGGACCAAAAGGGAAACGTCAAAACTTTTGGGGTGCGCCCCGTCCTTGTAGAACAGATGGCACTGGCACAGGTAAATGAGAACGCAAGCTGTGGATGTTCAAGTGACCCATTGCCAACGCCTCTGCCAACGCAGGTGAGGCACCCCGTTGAAGGACAGGACAAACTTGCCTCAAGTGCAAGAAAGCACACGCATGCACGCGCACTTTGTATCAAAATCAGCAGCCCCTTGGGCCCACATCGAAGCCCCTAACTCGAAGGATTAAACTGAAACAAGAGGTTGTGCCATCTACTTTCACCCAACTCCACATAGAGAGTAAGCCTAGTTTCAGGATGTATACCCCTTCCCCGCGTGCAAGGAGGTGACCTTGAAAAGCGCCACGCGGGTTTTTGGACCTTGTCTAGCCTCGTCGCGCAATGAAACGTGGCTCATCTCAAGCCCAGGGGGGGAACTCCGAAGTCTGCTTTTGCCGATAGAAAGGAGGCTCGCCCTGAGGCAAAGTATCTGCCCTTGGCGGATTGGTGTGAAAAAGTGGCAAGTTGGGCGTTGGCCACACGGGCGACGCGCACCATGTCTTCTTTTGGGATACCCAAACCCACCTTTCCATGCTTCTGGTTGCTCGCAGCTCACGTTGACCGAATGCCGAATTGCGAAATAGGCAGTTTCTTGCTCCGAGCCGTGCCGGCCACGAAGCGATGCACAGGCTTTTCGCATTTCCCTTGAGTCGCCAGTCCGAGAAGAAAAAAGCGCGGGCACCACTCTTTGTTTCGCCATGAAGCTGACAGGCTTGTGAAAGACTGCAATCTTGCTTGAATATTGCTTCTACTTCCATGGTGTGAAAAGCTTGTGCAAAAAAAACGCTACAGGGGGAAGCGACAACTGGCGTAAAAATAACCATCCACCTCCATTTGCTTCAGCCCCCTGGGAAAAACAGAACATGTGTCCAGTAGTGATAGATTCCATTGAAACCAAGAATGGAAAATGCAAAGTACTCTTCAGAATTTGGTGGATCCAGTTATCACTGCAGTAGGTAACGAACCAAAATGGAAGTCTAGAGAGGTGTGCCTGGCACTGGCCCTCAACCCGCCCCGCCCTTAGGCCCTTGCCTGGGGACCAGGTCTCATCCACCAGGCGCGAGGAGATGGGGTGGTACGAGTTCCTGACAAACTGATCAACCCACTTACTGCGGATGGGCGAAGCCATTTCGCACCACCTAACCAACCCTGGAAGGATGATTGCCTTGTAAAAACCAACCACACATGGTTTCAATTTGGACCGTGGTTAGGGTGCAACCCCATCAACTCCGGGATTGCCATGGTTCCCTCTATGTTTGCCAGTTAACCACAAATCCAGCGAAATGCAGATCAACGACTCTTGTGCCTGCGATCAAGCTGGGAACTGGACAAACACCCAAGTTTCAAAGAAAAAGAAACGACAAGGTCCAAACTGACTTTGAAACACGAATGCTAGCTTAAACTCAGAGCGCCAGCCGTTTGTTGTACATATATATATACATACATATATATGCATAGTGTGTATGTGTATATATATATATAGGCACGTATATGTAGGCATGTATATATCCGTACATATGCTTTGTCGCAAAGGCCGAATCAGGCAGCTGAGGAGCTCATGGCAAAGAACACCTCCATGGTCCAGGCTTCTTCAAGGGAGCGTTGATCCGCGTAAGCAAAAAAAAGGATTAAAGTTGTGTCAAAACAAATATTTGACGGGGTGGGGGGGTGGGGGGTGGGGGGTGGGGGGTGTGGGGTGGGGGGTGGGGGGTGGGGGTGGGGGTGGGGGTGGGGGGCGGCGGGGTTTGAGTACCCACATTGGCATACTATACACATCGATTTTGGCCCTCTTGGTCGGAGAGACATCTGTTCGTGTGTACGATGCACAAACAGATGTCTCTCCGATTGGTTGTAAAAAGCGATGCACCAAACCCCCCTTGCAGCCCAAGACGCATCTCAAGCTGGGGGATGATCCGCACTTGAGGTGGGTATGCCTTCAACACACCTGGGCCGCGCTGGGAAAGGTCCTGAACGAAGCGTCCCCACAACAGGCCCCTGGCTCCTGGTTGCACATTCGCATCTCGCGATCAGACATCCCCCATGTGCGCCGCAAGTGGCTAAATAACGAGATAGTTCCCTGGCATTGCAGTACGGAATTTTAAAAGGAACACCTGCCCCAGATTCACAATTGGTAGGTGGTTAGCATTCCTTTCATCCATCCAACTGGTGCATTGGCGGCCGCATGTGTGAGCAACAGTCACCACTTGTCGTGTCATGTCACCTTGGATTTCTGTGATTCGAGTGTGCCCCATGCGGTTCCAAAGGTACAAACATGGACATTTCCCATGTGTCAGCCACAGCCCCTCTTTGTTGTTGTTTGTTTCAGGCGTTTGTGCTTTTCTTGTTCGGTCCATGGGTTATGATGGATTTGGGTGGTTGGGGGTGGGTTTGGCGTGGGTGTAGCGGGTTTGGGCTAGGCTTAGGGTGGGTAAAGGAGGGTTTACGGTATGTTTTAGGGTGGGTTTCAAGTGTGGGAAAAGGGGCAGGTTTAGTGTTAGTTCAGGCTTGGGTGGGTTAGGGTTGGTTTAGGAGGGGTTGGTTGAATTCAGGATTACACCGGGTTTAGTTTAAGGTGGGCTTGGGGTGGTTTAAGTTGTCGGGCTTGGTTGAGGCTGCGTTTTGGGTGGTTTGGGAGGGCTAAGGTGAGATTTGGGTGGGTTTGTGACGGGTAGGGTTGGTTTAGGCTGGGTTTAGTGTAAGTTTCGGCGCGCCTGCTTCTTACTTGCTTGCTTGAATGCGTGCTTTCCGGGGAACGCGAAACAATTCCCATCCAGCCGGAAGAAAACAACAAACGATATAGCACCCCGATACTTCCCCCTAAGCATCCCGCTGCAAGGGCAATCACGCGAAATCGCAATGTGAACCGAAAAGCCGTTGCAAAGGACAACTCCCCAAAGCGACAGAAAGCTCCGTGCAGATTGGCAACCAAATGGTGATGTCAAAGAACTGACAGAGAGGAAGTCCATAACGAACATCTCCATTCAACTTAGACACCAAATGGTGATGTTTCAGGATGGCAACCAAGAAGGTGATGTCAAAGCCACCAAGAAAAAAGGGAATCCCGAAAGGACAGCTCCCCTAAAAATCGCCAGCTCAAATGGAGTTTCCTTGAAAACCCGCAAAAGCCGGGTTTCCCAAAAGCAGAGGAAACCCATGGCCGGGGTAAAAGGACGGGGCACCTCGTCGAAAACGCCCCCCGCCCCCCGCCCCCCTGCGCCTGGCAGTGGAAAGCCCGCGGCCGCGTGGACTGCAGCGCGCGCGTAGCGCAGCCGCCCGAAGCGCCGCAAGTTGTCGCCCAGCAGCTCCTGTGCAAAGGCCTACGGATGGCGCGAGTCGGTGGACCGAATCCATTTGCTTCTTCGCCCCTTGGAAAAATTGGAAAAGGAAAAGACAAGTTGGGGGGTTGCCTTCCCACTGAAATGAACAGCCTCCCTTGAAAAGGGATTCTACAGCCAAACCAAGCGGCAGTCTTTTTGACCACCCCCCGCACCGCCCAGACTCCAGACCCCCCAGACCCCCCAGACCCCCCAGACCCCCCAGACCCCCCAGACCCCCCCAGACCCCCCAGACCCCCCAGACCCCCCAGACTCCCCAGACTTCCCAGACCCCCCAGACCCCCCAGACCCCCCGACCGACACCCAGACACCCCAAACACCCCAGACCAGACCCCCCAGACCCCCCAGACACCCGACCCCCCAGACCCCACAGACATCCAGTAGTGATAAACTCCCTTCAACACCAACAGGGGAAAATAAACAATATTCTTCACCAAATGGAAGGTTTGGGAATGAACCTAGGGATTCCGTTAACGGAAACCACCAGGGATGGCTGATAAGGGGTCATTCCATTTCTCATCCCCCGAAGAGCACCAGCAAGTCATTTTTGATGCTTCGCCTATCGATGTCCTTTCAAAAACCCAAACCGTGTTGGAAGTTCATGGCGCCTGCTGCTCCCACCAGGTGTGGTCCACAAAGGCTGAGGGCTGTCCGTCCGGATCCTGCCAGACCTGAGCTTCAGTCGGACGGGGAAAGCGCTCCACCCGCCGTTTTTGTTGCCCCCGGGATTCATTTGTTTTTGTTTGTGTCTTTTTCTTTTTTTTGGAAAGTTGTGGCCTTTTGCTTAGTATTTAAGGGGGAAGAGTTGCCAGGGTTCTTCAAACTTGTGGCCTTTTGGTTGGCATTTAGAAAAAGAGTGCCAAACAAGAAGCTGCCATTTAGGGACAACTATCGAGGTGTAGTTGATTGTGGTGCTCAGGGGGGATGGCTTAGCTTTATCTTGCTGTCATAGTAGGGGGACGCTACGCTGAGCGACATGGAAACCGTTTAAAGGGAGTGCCTTCTAGAACCTTCTATCCAGCGATTTTCCTGTCGCAGTTGGCTTCTAACACACTCACCAGCAACCAAAAACTGAAGAAACAAAACGGGTCCTCAATGTTCCGCAGCCAAATCCAAGGGCTCCCCAAGCATACGCGGGGAAAAACCTTGGGCTGAGCTATATCCCTCAAATCCGAGGCTGCGGCTATGAGACAGCCACTCCAAAGCCTTGAGCAGCACAAAACCCCAAACTCGAGGACAAACGCGAGGTTTGCTTGGCAGCAGAAAAACGTCACACTGCAATGACCGGCTTAGAAGGGGGGGGGGGGGGGTAAATGATTGAACCTTTTCGGAGGGTGGTAATTGTTGTGCGTGGTTTGCATTTGGTCCGGGGCGCACGCTTCAACAGCTGCTCGCTCCAGGCACCGCGGCGCAGGAAGAAGATGGCGGTGTTCAGAGTCTGCGAATCTTCGGAGATGAGCAGATTCACCTCGCGGCGAGACGCTGCCAGTCGCACACACACACACACTCACAGATGGAGTGTTACAACATCTGTGGATGGACGAAATCCTGCACCACCTAAGAAAGCCTGGAATGATGATTCCCCTGTCAATACCTGGTGCAGGATTTCGTCCATCCACAGTAGTATTCAAAAACATGATCTGTCCGGATGACGTCGAAAGATCAGGTATCATATGGTATCATAACTGTAATTTCCTTTCAGCTGCAAGCCCAGGAGGCTGAGTCCTGCTGGCTTGCAGATCGCTGGCGTATCAGACAAACTGCGGTGCTTGTGGAAAGGGAGGTGACAAGGAGCCGGTCAGAGATGCGAATCCTGCAAGTAGTCTAAGGGAAGGGGCTACATAAGAGACGGGGCCAAACTGCTATATTCTCTCAGGATCAAAAGCTGGCGTGGCTTAATACCTGCAACCCCATTCCAACCTACGATGTACATGAGTGAAACCAAGAGAAGGATAGCCGCCTTACACCGCTGGGCAGTGAGCCATGCGGCTACTTTGCTGTGCTGCCTCTTTGCTTCGGCCGGCACGAATATTTCGCGCGCTTCACGATTGAAACCGCGCGTCAAGGACAATGCTTGGGTGACCTTTAGGTCTTTGCAACGCGTTCTTAGCCATCTTTAGAGTACCTGCAGACTCACCGAGAATAGATGGTGGAGGGGGGGGGGCTGGACAACTCTTTGCAAGCATGTGCAACTCATTTAGTAGCACCGGCCTTGGGTCGTTTGGATGAGGTGAAGTCTGATTGGCTGTCAAGAATGCCTGTTAGCGCCCATTAAACATAACAACTTGGCAGGGGGTGATGTATTTTTCGAGGCAGCCCAGAAAATCTGCAGGTTGGGTGGCCACTTGACGCAAAGTAAAAAGAACTAATGCCCAACCAAAGCGGGCTCCCAACATTATTATTTCCTTCAAACATCCCTCCATCCAGCCGGAAACTCCAAGAACATCTCGGTTAGAAAGACCATGCTTTTCGAAATGATGCAGACATGATGCCGTTGTTTACCTTTGGGGACCTTGACGAAACATGGAAAACCTAAAGGTCAGAAGGCCGGTTTGTCCGGAGGCCTCCGGGTCCGTCTCATCCGACTCTGACTCCGACTCCGGAGAAGGGGCGTAGGTCAGCAGAAGGGAGTCCAAGGTCTTGTTGAGGTCCATGAAGTAAAGGTCGCCTCGAGTGAGGCCACTATTTGGGTGTGGGGGTTTCTAAGTTGGACCCTCTATGGTGGGAAAATGGCAAACGAAATCAAAGATTGAGCCAGGCCCTCCCCGAAAAAGAGATCCCATGGCCGACACCTGCCAAAAAAAACATCAACTGGGGCCCTCCATGATGGAGGTTGTCCTTTTGGTTTTCATTTAAACAAACCCCAAAAAGGGTACCGAGCCTCGAAAAAGACAGACCTATTTGATGCTTGGGCCGTGACTCTGGTAGTGTACAATCCGGCCCGCTTAAGATCGGGGAGCGGGGTTTCCCACACAGACTGGATCAAAAATTGCCAAGTCTCAACAAATCATCAACCGAGGGAAAAAGAAAAATGAAAGCATGAAGCAGTCCTAGCGTTCACCTCGGATTCCGCGAGTGAGGTCCGAGCCTCTCGCGAAAAGCAACCCAAGAAATTGCCCCCACTGCATAGTTGATTCTGATCTTCAGGTCACCTTGAAAACCCAATCCATTCAAGAATCGCCGAAGGATCTTGATCTCGTGCGTTGCCAGCAAGCGGGAAGCAATAAGGGAACCCAGTAAGAAACCGCTGGGGCCAAAAGGACATCCCAAACGATTGAGCTGCGCCCCCCCCAAAACTAGACATGACTCAGAGATTCTAACCACTCTAAAGAACAACTTGTTGAACACCCTCTTTTTGATATGGTTGTGGGTCAAACATAGGTATATACCCAAAACGGTTTGCCCTGGCAAACAGAAACAAGGACTAAAACCTGCGGTCCATATCTTGATATTCCATATCCTTACCCATATTTTTCCTTAGAATGGCACCAGTTGATCCTTTCAATACCATTCTTCGCCCCCAACCGATGCCTTCCTAGGCACAATCCACCCAGGCCACCCAGTCCCAGCGCCCATCCTGAAGCAGTTTCCCAGTCGAATCGAGAGTTCCTTCCCTAGGTTTTCTCGAGTAGAGAGGTCCTCGAACAAGGGTACCAACTTTTTCTGTAGTCTATTTTGGTAGGGGGTTTCCCTCCCAACCCCCCCAAAAAAAAGAGGGGGGGAGAAAGGGCACTACTGGAAGACCTAGTTCCGCAGTTTCGCCACTTTGCCGTCTCCATTGCCTACATTGAAAATATGAGAAGACTCTAGGCGTAACTTCCATGTCCATTCTTTCCAGGGATCCTTCTTTCCAGAAAACTACCAAACACCCTGGGGAAATGGCTGGTTTTTGAAAAGAACGATGGCTGACAAGAATGGGGAATCAACCCCTAGAAAGACTGGTTAATCAGCAGAAAAGTAAGTTTTAGAATGCATAATTGTTCTTGGCCCCTGACTCAACTTGCGCTGCGATCGGTGCAGGGAATGAGAAATGGAATGAACCGTTTGGGGATTCCCGAATAAAGGGTCATTCCATTCTTCATTCCCTGCCCATCACACCAGCAAGTCAATGTGGTTGAACATGACAACAATGATTTGGGCCCTTCTTTCGAGTAAGCCACCATTCTGGCACACTGGGCTGTCAACAACGGAGGGTTGGCCAATCCTCATCCCGGAAAACCACGACTGGAGTGCCCCTTACGCCCAAGATAGGTTGGTTTTGGATTGCCTGTGAACCGCCCAGGTTTACCAAACATGCAACTTGCGCATTGTTCTTGAGGCCACTTGTCTGATGGCAAATTGTGTGTAGGAGTTTTCCGCCTTGAAGCCAGGTCTGGCTCTGTGGCCCGGTGCTGGTTCAACAATATCTACCCTTAGCCCCCTTTGCAGGAAATCAACATGAGGTTCTCTTATCAGCGTTCAAGTTTAAGTCGGGAAAGCAACATGAAGTTGTCGAAACAACATTTGGGTTCGTCCCCCTCCCCTCCCCCCCTCCCCCTCCCCCCTCCCCCCTCCCCCTCCCCCCCTCCCCCCCCAAAAGAAAAACAACAAAAACAAGACCAACCACGACCGCCTTTTGTGCAATTCCCCTTCAAAGGACAAGAGAAAGGGTACCGAGCCGCAAAACAAGACACACACACACACACACACACCACACACGCCCACGTACCGGCCCGCGCCTGCAGCGCCGCGAGCATTGCCCGCACCTTGCCCCAGGCGGGGGCCCGCCCGTCGGCCAACTCCGAGGTCCGGTGGTGGACGTAGCCTGGGAGCCACGGATCCCACGGGCCGCCCACGCCACAAACGCCGATTCCCAAATCCCCCGCGGGCGATTTTAGCGATTGAAGCCTTTCTTGCTCTCTTGAACGCCGAGTCCAAAATCCCCCGCGGGCGAGCAAATTCCGCGTGGGCGATCTTGGCGACTGAAGCCTAGGTGTTTCTTGGAGGAGGGGGCTTTGGGACCTGCTGGGTGCCTTGCTTTGGCGGGTCCGATTGCTCTTTGGGGCGCCCCTGGCAACCATGGGAAAGGTTGTGCAAAGCTTGTGAGGCCAATGATGCCAAGCAAGCCCAATTGACAAATCTCACTTGGGATGTAGACAGAGTTAATTCCAGGCAAGCCCCTAAAGTAAGCAACCAGCGATTCGCGTTCTGGTTTTGAAAGAGTGGTTCCCTGCGTTATCTACTATGCGGGTAAGCGGTTCCAGTGGGACAACTACAAAGCCCGCACAACTCGAGTGTGTTTCCAATGGGGCGCCAACAACGGGGGAAATGAAGAAACAGGCCTTCCCAGGGTCAAAACTGCCTGTACCTGCTGCCCTAAAGTACAATTGCATGATGGTAGGAAGCCCAAGTGTTGAGTTTTACACCATATCTCCCTCTGGCTGCCAGGGCGGAAGAAAAGCAAAGCCGCTCAGCCACTCCCACCCGCGTGCTGTCAAAAGCAGGGAGGCTTGTGTTGGGCCGTTTTCAACATGCCCAAATTACAAGAGAATGGAAAGCTCTTTAAACTGATAGATACATTTTGCAAATTGACGATTTTATCATATGCATGATAAAGATATTCCACATTACAAAGAAAACCTGCGCATAGTGCACTAAAAATTATCAAACCACCTCCAAACGAATCCACTCAGGTGAACGGACACCGACAAATCAAACACCGCAATTAGTTCCGCGGCTCTGCCGATCACAACGCAAACGCCGTGTAGAGTCAAGTGGGCGGGCAGGCAGCCGTAGCCGTGGGCCTGAGCATAGAGACCATGAGCAAACGCCGCCAGCCGGGGTAGTGCGGAGTCGGCTTCGTAGTCGCAAATGGTCACCTTGCTTCGTGGATCCCTTGTTTGTGGGACATGTCATGGATACCTCTAAAAACTACAAACCTCTAAATGACACATTGTTAGCCCTGGAACCTCCGAAGAACATTGCGATAAATACCTCTAAGCACCAAAGTGCAAAAATCCTAAGGGCTCTGACTGCCAAGTCGCCATCGCCAAGCGCGAGGACAGGCGCGCAGTGGGCAAAACGGACCGGGGCGAGGCTTGGAAACTGGCCTGAAGCAAGCGCTAATGACATTGCGCACCCTCGTCCAAACGCCTTGGCCTATGATAGTCATGGCTTTGCAATCCTTGCGGCAGACCCTCCTTATGGTGCCAGTACGAGTGGGACCCAGCGAGGACCAGAAACTCCCCCCGCAAGAAACATGGAATGGCCCCCAGAAGTCTCCGGGCCAACCGGAGAGCAGCAACGAGCCCCCCTCAACCCACCTTTGCTCATTTTAAAACAAAGGAGGAAACCCGCAAAAGAAGGACTACACTGGCTATACTTGGGAAGTGGTTAGTCCCCTTGAATCCATGGCTACCTACTTACTCGGTTGAACATTCAAGAAGTCCAAAAGAATGGATCATATTCCCTCCTGGGGTTCTCGTCCCCATCCGCTTGGCATCACAAAAATCGGACGCCCAGTAATAACCAATGTCCGACACCCACAGAACAATAGGTGTCCGTTTGGTAGAATAGATGGGTTTGCCTGGTGACTGGGCCATAAAGAAAAAGCTGAACCAATGGACCCCATCTATGTCTAATCAAACAAACTCAAAACGGACACCTACCGTGGATGAGCTGGATGACCCGCCCTGATGGGAACGGATGTCGCAGCTCTCCTGGGTTCCCTCCAAAAGCGGTCTGAATCCCCACTAAACCAGACACACCCCATCAAAATCAGCCAGGTGCTTTGGACGTTCAAGGAGTAATTTGCCTTCCGTTTGTAAAGATGCTGGAGTTCAACTGCCCAAACCACCAACCCGAAAACACCAACCTGAGAATAGGGTTCCCCTAAACTGCTTGCCTGGGGCTCTGAAGCTCCTTGAAACTCCCAAGCCCCCAGCCCGGTCAACCTAAGACCTGACCCCATATTCATCAACCCCAGTAAGACATGGGGGCCATATTCATCAACCCCAGTTTTTTTTAGGGGAAGTGTTTCCCTCCAAAAGTGGTCTGCTTCCAACCACAAAAACCAGAATAGGGTTCCCCTACATTTGGTTGCCTGCACCTCCGAACCTCCCAGGAACTCCGATCTCCCAGCTTTCGGCCTAAGGCCCGACACGCGCTGAAGTAAGTACCCCTGTTCATAGCCCTTTGCTTCCCTGCTTTCCAAGCCACTTTATAAGGGGTATACCCGTTTTGGGTTCATTTGCCCAGGTGTGCACAAGGGTATGTACAAGCACCCCTGCATTTTTGGGCCTCCCCGCCTTCAGCTCCCGCAAGAGCTGCGCCACGGAGCGGTGCTCGTCCCCGAAGCGCGCGGAGCTGATGGGCCACGGGGACTCGTCGATGAAGGCGTCCTGCGAGTTTGGCCGTGGCAGCCCCCCCCCAAAACAAAAAACAAAAAGCAACCCCCGCCCAAAAAAAAGAAGGTAATCTCCTACAAAAAACACCAAAAAGTACCCCCCCCCAAAAAGAAACACACCAAACGTACCTCCCCCCCCAAAAAAAAAAGTCCCCCCCTCAAAAAAACAAAAAGTCCCCCCCAAATATATATATATATATAAAGTCCTCCCCGCCAAAAAAACAAAACACACAAAAAAGTACCCCCCTCGAAAAGAAAAAAGAGCCCCCCACCCCCCCCAAAAAAAAGAAAGAAAGAAAGAAACATAACAAAACACACACACAGACAACAAGTACCCCCCCCCGCCCCCCGAACCCCCCCCCCCAAAAAAAAAGAAGAAAAGAACATAACAAACACACACACACACACAGCACCAAAAGTACCCCCCCCCCCCATAAAAAAATAATAAGCTCAGGCGATATCCCCAACAGCACCACACCCGCCCCGGGACCCGCCTCACCGCCGTTTTTGCTGAGGATGCCGCCTTGTAAATTTGTGAAGCAAAGCTAAGAGTGACAGCACAATCGCGCCCTGATCGGGGCCCGACGGCACAATCGGGGCCCGATCGGGGCAGAAGGTGCAATCGGGGCCCGAATGGGGTTCGACGGTGCCATCAGGCCCGATAGTCCCGTGGCGCAAGCGGGCTCCCACCAACCCCAGCCACCCATGTTATAGCTGAACGCCGGTTTTGCTTAGGATGCGGCCTTGCAAGTGTATCTAGCAAAACTAGGCGACACCGGCTTGGTAGTTGATGGGGCCTGATCGGGGCCCGACGGCGCAATCGGGTGAACCTCGCAGACCGTTCTCGTGGAACCCTCGTAGGCTCAGCATGAAACTTTGTTGGAACCTGTCCTCAGGGCTGCCCCATAGCTTTTGCAGAACCTGGTGGAAACCTCGTGGAGCGCTTTTGGGATTTTATTCCGTAGCCTTGCAGCTTCGTGGAACCCTTGGAACCCAAAGCCCACCAAGTAGTACTCAGTAATGCCAAGCATTTGCTCTGCTACACAATAAGTTTGCAAGGAGTCATGGCTAGGAGTCATGGCAAGGAGTCATTGCAAGGAGTCATTGCAAGGAGTCATTGCAAGGAGTCATTGCAAGGAGTCATTGCAAGGAGTCATGGCAAGGAGTCATTGCAAGGAGTCATTGCAAGGAGTCATTGCAAGGAGTCATTGCAAGGAGTCATTGCAAGGAGTCATTGCAAGGAGTCATGGCAAGGATTGCAACTTGCACTTGACTCCTTGCACTTGCAACTTGCACTTGACTCCTTGCACTTGCAACTTGCACTTGACTCCATGCACTTGCAACTTGCACTTGACTCCATGCACTTGGCTCCTTGCACTTGGCTCCTTGCACTTGGCCCCTTGCACTTGCAACTTGCACTTAACTCCGTGCACTTGCGACTTGCACTTGACTCCATGCACTTGGCTCCTTGCAACTTGCAATGGCTCTCATGACTCCTTGCAATGACTCCTTGCAATGACTCCTTGCAATGACTCCTTGCAATGACTCCTTGCAATGACTCCTTGCAATGACTCCTTGCCATGACTCCTTGCAATGACTCCTTGCAATGACTCCTTGCAATGACTCCTTGCAATGACTCCTTGAAACAAGCAAGGAGTCAAGTGCAAGTTGCAAGTGCAAGGAGTCAAGTGCAATTGACTTGCGAGGAGTTAAAATCTCTTCTTAGGGCGGCGGGGTAGTGCCGACGACACTACACGAAAATCGACCCTCTGCGGGGATCGGCGTGGTCGAGGTGCAAAAACCCATGTTTTTTTTGCGATTTCTGCGGTGCTCGCGCGACCCTCTGCGGGGATCGGCGTGGTCGAGGTGCAAAAACCCATGGTTTTTTGCGATTTCTAACATGCTCGCGCGACCCTCTGCGGGGATCGGCGTGGTCGAGGTGCAAAAACCCATGGTTTTTTGCGATTTCTGCGCTGCTCGCGCGACCCTCTGCGGGGATCGGCGTGGTTGAGGTGCAAAAACCCATGGTTTTTTGCGATTTCTGCGCTGCTCGCGCGACCCTCTGCGGGGATCGGCGTGGTCGAGGTGCAAAAACCCATGGTTTTTTGCGATTTCTAACATGCTCGCGCGACCCTCTGCGGGGATCGGCGTGGTCGAGGTGCAAAAACCCATGGTTTTTTGCGATTTCTGCGCTGCTCGCGCGACCATCTGCGGGGATCGGCGTGGTCGAGGTGCAAAAACCCATGGTTTTTTTTTGCGATTTCTACGCTGCTCGCGCAACCCTCTGCGGGGATCGGCGTGGTCGAGGTGCAAAAACCCATGGTTTTTTGCGATTTCTGCGGTGCTCGCGCGACCCTCTGCGGGGATCGGCGTGGTCGAGGTGCAAAAACCGATGGTTTTTTGCGATTTCTAACATGCTCGCGCGACCCTCTGCGGGGATCGGCGTGGTCGAGGTGCAAAAACCGATGGTTTTTTTTGCGATTTCTGCGCTGCTCGCGCGACCCTCTGCGGGGATCGGCGTGGTCGAGGTGCAAAAACCCATGGTTTTTTGCGATTTCTGCGGTGCTCGCGCAACCCTCTGCGGGGATCGGCGTGGTCGAGGTGCAAAAACCCATGGTTTTTTGCGATTTCTGCGGTGCCCGCGCAACCCTCTGCGGGGATCGGCGTGGTCGAGGTGCAAAAACTCGAGGTTTTTTGCGACTTTTGTTGTTCGAACTGGTCCTCGGGAGTTGTCTCGTGGTTCGCGCGCCTGCTCCCGGGCCGGCCGGTCGCGGGTTCGATTCCTCCCTGGTCCGCGGGCGGGCGTCGCAAGATGCAACTTGCATTTTAAGCAACTTGCGCAGAGCAACTTTTGCACAGAGCAACTTGCGCAGACCAACTTGCACCGACCAGTTTGCGCAGAGCGCCTTGCCTAGAGCAACTTGCGCAGAGCAACTTACGCAGAGCAACTTGCACAGAGCAACTTGCACAACTTTGCAGCAACTTGGAGAGCAATTTGCACAGAGCAACTTGCAGGGAGCCACTTGCAGGGACCAACTTGCGCAGCCGGAGTGCAACTTGCGTAGAGCAACTTGCGCAGACCAACTTGCACCGACCAGTTTGCGCAGAGCACCTTGCCTGGTGCTGTCTCGCGCTTGCTTCACGAATGCTTCGTGTAGGGAAAAAGAACGCATCCTGCAGCGTTGGGCCGACCTCGCTTGCGATGTTCTGCTTTCGGGCCAACCGTGGTCTAGTGTTCCGCCCATGAGCAAAGCGATCTTCTGAGCCCTCAATTTACTGCTCCGATGGCTTTTCAGACGGTGGGGGCGCGACACATTGCTTCCTTGCAGAACATTTGTGGAACTTGTCGAGCGTTTGGAGCCTTGTGACCCTTGTCGAATCCTTGGAACTGCTGTGAAACCCTTACCTCAGCCACAGCCCGTGGAACCCTGGAACCCTCATTCATGGAACCCCGGCCTTGGTCGACCCTCATGAACCACCCCAACTACCCCGTAGCCCTGGGAATTACCTCAAACCACCCTTGCAGTACCTGATAAAGCCCTGGAAAAGAACCTGACCTCAAAACATTGGCGGAACCCTTGTGGAACCTTACCTCAAACCACCCCGGACCACCCCGCAAACCTTCTGCAACCCTGGTGGAACCTCGTGGAACCTTGTCAAACCACCCCAGCCCTCGCAGAACCCTGGCGGAACCTTTGTGGAACCTTATCCCAAACCTTGCAGAACCTTGTGGAACCTTGGTGGAACCTTCGTGGAACCTTAGCTCAAACCACCCCAGACCATCCCGCAGCCCTTGCAGAACTTGGTGGAACCCTGGAACCTAACCTCAAATCACCCCGGACCACCCCGCAGCCCTCGCAGAACCTGGTGGAACGCTAAGTGGAACGTAGAACCTGGTGGAACCTTACCTCAAACCACCCCGGACCACCCCGCAGCCCTGTGGAACCTTGCCTCAAACCACCCCGGACCACCCCGCAGCCCTCGTAGAATCTGGTGGAATTCTGGTGGAACCCTCGTCGTGGAACCTTGCCTCAAACCACCCCGGACCACCCCGCAGCCCTTGTAGAACCTGGTGGGACCCGGTGGAACCCTCGTGGAACCTTACCTCAAACCACCTGGTGGAACCTTGGTGGAACCCTCGTGGAACCTTACCTCAAACCACACCCCGCAGCAACCTGGTGGAACCTTGGTGGAACCCTCGTGGAACCTTACCTCCGACCACTCGTTGAACCTGGTGGAACCCTGGTGGAACCCTGGTGGAACCCTGGTGGAACCCTGGTGGAACCCTCGTGGAACCCTCGTGGAACCTTACCTCAAACCACCCCGGACCACCCCGCAGCCCTCGTAGGGAACCCTCGTGGAACCTTACCTCAAACGACCACCCCGCAGCCCTCGCAGAACCAGGTGGAACTCTGGTGGAACCCTCGTGGAACCTTACCTCACGGTCGCCCCGGACCACCCCGGAGCCTATCTGGGCTGAGACCCCAAAACAATGGAAAAAGACTGGAACCCTCGGATCAAAACAACTGGATCTCATGGGGGGGCAAATCAAATCATCAGGGTCAAGCTGACACCAGCTGAGTGGCTCTAAGGGTTGGCCGAAAGGCCTCAGCTTTTTGCAGTTGCAGAAGTTCAGCTGCGAATCACGCAAGCCAGAGTTGCCTAACAAGGCAGGCCTTCATTCCTTGCAAGAAGGCTCAACGCTCTCCCACACAAAGGGTCCCACTGTCTTATCCCTTCCCCCCCCCCGTTCCAACTCCGGGCCGGAGCCAACTCTCCGACGAAATCGTTTTGGCAACTGGGATTGGCGAAGTTCCGCCTGGTGCCGGGCGGGGCCGTTGTAGGCGAAGATCAGCCACCCCGCCGCCAGGTGCTGCAAGCTGAGCGCCACCTCCAGCGCGCCGATCTGCACCTCGCGGCGGCCACCGGGTCTCGGCGCCAAACAGCAGCCCGGCGTGGCTCGACAAAAAAGGGGATTTGCCCAGAATGAACCTTGGTCAGTGCACAAAGTGGACCAAAACTGTGGTTTATCGGGATCTCTTTTTTTTCGCCACAGCCAAAGGAGATACTCTCAGATTATGGTTCATAGTTAGCTTGCTTTAAAAGATATGAGCCCAGCCCCTGTTGGGTTCGTTTTGGGGGGATGGAATGGGTAGCAGCCCAACAATGACCAACCTCACACCCCAAGTGAAAAGTGAAATGCCACCAGCTTCTGACCCTGACATCATTCAAAACAATGGCAATTGGATTGGTACTGCTGGCTAATGCTGAGACTTCCTGCTCAGTCTCAAAAGAATTGCAAAGGCCATTCTGACTTTCCATTTTGACAACTCCTTCAGCTGCTCCGTGTTGTTTCACCAAGCTGACGCGGTGCAGAAGTTCTGTTTTTGCACGAACCAGAGCTCAAACATGTCATGTTTAGCATTGTTTTATCAAGCCCACTCGAGTTCATGTACTGTCATGTTGTTTTTTCGGGAGCACCGAGGCGCCCAGACCTTGTTCCCACCCACGTCCCCACCCCCATTCAAGGGATGGCAGGTGCCCCCAATTTGCATTCGAATGAGGTTGCAAACCCATGCAGTAGTGCTTGTTTCAATGCAAATCAACGTATCAATGCACATAAAAGATACAAACACACATGCATGCTTGTTTCTCATTCTGAGCAAAACTTGAGAAGAGAAGCTTTCTTCATATCTATATATATATATATAGACACACACCCACACCCACACCCACACGCACACCCACACCCACACGCACACGCACACGCACACGCTCACGCATACAAACATATATATATATATACATATCATATATATATATATATGTTTGTATATACATATCTCTCTCTCTCTCTCTCTCTGTCAGCAGTTTCAAACTGCATGATGTACCCCGCCCCCCCCTCCCTCCCCGCGTCCCTCTGGTGCCGAAGCGCGTGCACCTCCGCCTCTCTGACTTTCGGATCCCCGTAGTGAGCCATGGCGCCCAGCCGCAGCAGCGCAGCCATCGCCAGCGGGCACTCCTGCGACGGCCGTCTCTTGGGTGCTGTAGGTCCCCCAGCAAAAAGTTAAAAGGAAATATGAAGGGACTCAAGGGAATCCACAAAAGTTAAAGTCTAAAGATCCAACCCAATAGCGGTAGAATCTATTGCTTGGTAACGGTATTTGATTTAGGTGTCCCTGGTAACGTGGCTATACTTGGCCGTACCTGAGTAATGTGGTTAGCCCCCTTCTAGCCACGGTTACCTACTTGTTCGGTTGAACTTTCAAGCAGCCCACAGGAATGGAACAGCATATTCCCTCATGCGGTTTTCATCCCCATGGCTTCCTTCAAAGGGAATCCGCTTGGCACCACAGAAAGCGGAAACCTAAAACAAACCGATGTCCGACAACCATGGAACCATAAGTGTCCTAGCTCAGCCATAAACCCAATCTAAACTAGTGGAACCTATGTCTTTCTAACCAGCCTAACCCATCAAAAGGACACCTGGGTGACTTTGGGCGTGCCAAGGAAGTTGCAAAGGAATGGAACGTCGTATTCCGTCATTGGGTGTTCATCCCCATGGCTACCTTGAAGGGGAATCCGCGTATCGCAGAAAGCGGAAGCCTAAAACAAATCTATGTCAGACAAGCATAGAACCATATGTCCTTTTGGTAGACTAAATGGTTTCCCTGGTAGCTGGGCAGTAAAAACCCAGATCTAAACCTCTTTTGTAAAACCAACCTAGCCGATCAAAAAGACACCTCGGTGGCTTGTCTTTTATTGGTCCCTTAATCTTGTGTGTTGAAGGAAAACCAAAAGGAGCAACAACGATATAATTATTTATGTTACCATAGTTTTTTGTTTGGGGGAGGGTCCCCTAAAGAAGGTCCCCGAGAAAAAAAACGACACACTCATTTAGTTCCTGGTGTTGGTTGTTTGGTCTGGTGGTCCACTGAAAGAACTCCTGGAAAGAATGGGCAAGTTACTAAAGCCAGGGGCTCTCAGCTTCCCTCCTTTTTGTTTGATTTCAATTAGGCGTTTGGTGGGTGGGGAGTGGTTTCCCATATACCCTCTACAAGAAGCAGGGGATCCAATCCCCAAACCACCTATCCAAACCAAACCACCAATGAAGGCTAACCCTCCTGGAAAATGTTTTGATTATGACTCACCGGGTCCCTGACTAATGGAATTGGGGGAGGGCGGAGGACGATGCCTGAATTCCATGTATGTGGTTTCATTTTTCCTTTGTGAGGGAAAAATGAAGAGGTGGAGTTGGGGACCCCCATGGGGGACGGTATTAAAGTGGTCTAGCCCGAACCATGTAAAGAATTCAGCTTCGGCGGATATCCGCAGCTATGTATGGTTCGGATTATCCCTTCCTCACCTTCATCTACCTGAATCGGCTTTGAGCACGTGGCTCCGGCGATGGCGCAACCCCCCGAATTCGGACGCCTCCAGCGCACGGCGCGCATCGGCGCCCTCCTCCGCAAGCTGGCGCCGCACATCTTGCGCCCCGCCCGCCCGCAGCTGCGCCTCTGCCGCCTCGCGTCACGGCGCGGAGGCCAGTTGGCCGCATGTGGCTGGGTGAAGTATTCATCTTTCACCAACGTGAAATAAGGTGGTTGCGGGGCCATTCCCTGCATAAACCACCATTTGGGGTGAATTCGGTCGTGTGAGGTCGCTATAATTCACCCAGATATGGTAAATGATTGCGAAGTCCCTTCGCACCACGAAGTGAAACCATGGGAAACCATTCTTGTTGGTATTTACAGGAAGTTATATGAGTTATCATCTCAGCGCCTCTGAACGCTTGTGCCACTTTGAAACTCATGAAGTTGAAACCAAAACGTTTGTTGGTGTTTTCAGAAAAATAATCCTTCCGGCCCAAAGCTTCTTAGGCGGTGCAGGGTGGATTTCGTCCATCCACAGTGTGGTGAATGGTTGCGAAGTCCTCTTAGCCACCAGCTGAGACTCGACCTAAGAAACCAGAAAATGATGTGATTCCCCGACGTAAATGCCAACGAGCACGTTGGTTGCTCATGGTTTCAAAGTGGCACAAGCGTTCAGAAGCGCTGAAATGATAACTCGTATAACTTCCTGTAAATACCAACGATGATGATTTCCGGAATAGCTTACAAGGTTTGAAGTTGTTTGCGTTGACTGAGAAAGAGTTATTTTCCACAACTCTACTGTGGATCAGTGACGCAGTGCTATTACCAGTTGGCTGTTTACCCCGGGGGAAGGAAGGAAAAGTAGATGTCAAGAGGATTGCCGATCACGAGGTTGACGAGGTTCCTTGAAATGCTTTCCTGCTGCTGTGAATTCGCATTGGCTCGGGTCCCAAAACAATCTGCGTCCTTCTGAATGGAACCACCATATGCTTAACTCCACCCTGCCGGGCAAATCTACGACAACCCTGGCTCCAAGGGCCACATCACCTGCCTGCAGCCGCTCCAGCATCGGCCGCCACGTCTCCGGGCACCGCAGCGCCGTGGCGTGGAACTCCGCGGCGCTGGAGGCCGCCGGTGCCAGCGCCAGCGCGGCGAGCCGCCGGGCGGAGGCCATGCCTGGGTTCTTAAGCAGATGGATGCTTAAGCACCACAAAACGACATGAAGTTGAAAGCATAAGGTTTGTTGGCATTTAAGGGCGAAGCTTCCTCCACAATTGCTGATTTGGTGGTGAAACGGATGGGGTTTCCCATTTACCCCCCATCCCTGGGGTTCAAATCCCCAAACCACAAATCCAAACTACTAACTAAGGGTCACCGATGGACGCGAAATCATGTCGCTTAGCACGATATGACGTTGAAACCAAGTTGTTTGGTGGTATTCACGTTGGGGCATTGAATCAGAAACCAGAGGCTTCTGACCGGTGCCAGATTTCGTCCATCCACAGTGGCCCCCTCGTGTGCACGCACAAACCTACCAACTGGCGCGGGAGTGTCCAGCCGCAGTGATATTGCCCCTTTGGGCAGTTTTCAACATCGCCTTTAGGGCCTTTAAAGGGCTCTGAAAAACGCCGAGGAATCAATACCCGCTTAAGGGGGTGGACCTTAAGAAGGGGGCAATATGTTATTTGCTGGCGCTAAGATTTAAGAGGGAGGTCCAAGAGTGGGGTTGTTCAAACTGGAGCATCAACACCCATCTGCGCGCGCAAACCGAACGAAGGCAACACATGTTTTCCGGCGAAGGTTCACATTATCTTGGACTGACAAAAGCATGAACACAAACGTGGTGCTCAAAATGATGCAATAATGTATGATGAACAAACGATAAACAAAATGATCCATAACAAGCATGTTCACCCTGACATGCGCTCCTTATGCATTTTGGTCCACCAGCTTTCCTGTTTCAATGCATCCACGCCTTGCACTGCATGCTCCATGGTTCCTTTGTTGCGTAACTCTGCGGCGATTTGGCAAACTCCGCAAGCCAAGGAGTACATCTGGCCTCATTGTTTTACCATCATCAAAGTCACCCCCAAAGTGGTGGGTTAAGGGAAACAACCCCCAGAAACCGTCAAAATAATGACCCCAGTACATCGGACCCATGGTGTGCATCCGGGCCTCGCGGCGGTTCACAAATTTCCGGCGTCACCGCATGGCCACGCAGCTGGCTTGGAACAGCTGCGGCGTTCGAGCACACGTGCATGCGTGCAGGGGTGGGGTCACTCGGGCAATGCTTAATGACTGGGGAGGACTCAAGGGAGCAGGCAACGTGTGCAAATCAGCCTCTGGAAGCTATGATTTTCATAACTTGCGCCAGGGCTGTCTACTTGGGGTCGCCCTCAAAAACAAGCCAGCGGCTCGCGCACCCCAAAAACACACACACACACACACACACAACCCCCCCCCTCCTTTCTTCTCCGGGCACATGGGCACCCGCCTTCCGAAGGTTGGCCATCATCGCGGCTTTTCTTGCCTCCAAGGGAGTCCGGAGGCTTCGAGTTTCAATTCAAGGCCTTGAAATCCCATCAACTCAGTTGTCCTGGGACCTGGAATCTGGAAACTTGGGCCGCTAAAAATGGGGAGAACCCCAAAAGGCTGAACCCCTCAAACCTTCTAGGGAAACCAAAAGGGCAAAAGGTCCGCTTTGGGTAAGGAATTCATGGGGGGGTTCAGCTTGGGCTTGAAGCATCTACCAAGCCAGCCTGAACTAGTTTCGGTCTTGGTTCGAAGCATTGATCAGCGCATTTTTTTTGTAGTTTCTAGGCATTTACAAGCACCGTGTATGTGTAAACGCTTGTCACCAAACTGAAACTCGACAGCTTTAAGACAAAAGGGCACCTACGCATACGTCCCAATGAGCCCATGCCTGTTGTGCCTTTCCTCGGCCAAAAAAAACGGCTCACCCATATGCAGTGTCAAAAAAAGAAGGGATCCTCGAATCAGGATCCGCTGGGTTTCAGGCGCGACTACTTCACCTGCATGGATAAATGATCTGAAGCCGAGGGCTCCCAGATCCCAACATCTGCACAAGCCGCGACAGATGTGGCGAACAAGGATTTTGTCGAATGGGCGTTGGCGCTCCCTTTTGGCTTCCCTTTAAAACCCCCAAACAGTGTACCCTGAATAAGGGGGTACCCTAAAAAAAGACAGACCCAAATTAGAGGGGTTCAAGCCACTGCCATTCCTCCACCGCCATCCCCATAAAAAGAGCCTTGACGAAGGGGGTCTCTGCATTGCGGTCGTCACTTCGCGGGGTCTGGACGTCGATGGTGTTCAGAACCTGCGTGGAGGGACTCAATGGCCAAACTATACGAATATCGTCGACCTCTGATTCAACCCCCCCTATTGATTCAGGGGGTCCCTCTTTATTTGGGTCCTCTCTTCCAGGACTCCCCTCATTGTTGCTAGGGGGTCATCAAACCTTACCGTGGGTGAGCTTGTTCTTCCTCTGACCTTTGCCACCGTGATTTTAGTGGGCAAACACCCTCTCCCTCGAAAATTGTCAACTTTTAGAATAGAATCCCCCCCCCCCAACCCAGCCCCCACCCAGCCCCCACCCAGCCCCCCGACTCCCTCGAAATCCGTTTTGCGGCTTCGCATCGCATTTCGGCCGCGCCTGCTTCACCACCACCGTCTTGAAGAGCTGCGGCACGATCTGAGGCTCCACCTGCGAGCAACGGAATTCGGAGTCTCGCCTCTGCCGGTCGACCGGTGCGATCGGCCGGCGGGGGGGGGGGGGGGCTGAGAAATGGAGTCTGACCCCTGAAAGACTTCCAGCCAGCGGGTGGTTTCCTTTATTTATAAGGGGATCCCCAAACGGTTCATTCCCCAAACCCGGGCCCTTGAAATGGAATGACCCCTAGAAGAATTCCAGCCAACGTGGGAGTCCGAAAGCCCGAAAGTAATCCAAAGCAATCAAAACCAATCCAAACCAAGAAATACTTGCAGGTGCGATAGGCAAGATTCTTTGAGGGAATGACCTAGAAGTTTTGTTTCCTTTACTCGGGGACCCCCAAGCGGTGCATTCGCACCAGCAAGATTAAGCCAGCTTCGCCCCAAATGGCGGTTTGGAGCCGGATCGGTGGTTTGGTGTTCCGGGGGTTTTGTCTGCTTTTCATCCAAACCACCAAGCAGGGGTTGCCTGGCTCAGGGTTGCCTGGCGTGGGGTATACCAAGACAAAGATGTTGGTGCAGGCAGCCTCAAAGAGCGGCATGGGTCCACGTAATCATACCCATCAAGAGGCAAAGGAGGATTCTCTCTCTCTCTCTCTCTCTCTCTCTCTGTCTCTCTCTCTCTCTCCCCATATGGATTCTCTCCCCATCTAAAACAATCATGATTCCATCTGCCGACTGCTCCACGGGCATTTTGGCAACCCCGAAGCAAATGAATAACGACTTCAAAGTCATATTAAGTCATGAACTTAAGACAAATCTGGAGCCATCCCCAAGGTTACCCAAAAAACAAAACAAAACAAAAACGCACATTCACCTGCCAGCGCCCACAGTAGGGGTCGAATTTGCCAACTTGTTTCCACCTGCTCACTTGCTGCAAGTCCCTTCGTGTCGGTGTCTTCCACGAGCCCGCACCAACTTGTTTGATTCACGAGGCCGGCGACGGCGCAAATTCCAAGCGCGACCTCATGCGCAGGAGCGAGGAGACCGGCGCCAGCGCCGTGACGAGAGCCCGGATGTGCTGGCGCTCATGGGGCACATCAGCGAGTTTCAGAAGGCTTTCAGCGAGACCAAGCCTGAAGAACACCAAACCGGGGAGGTCTTCACCACAGACCTCCAAATAGCTGCAGGATGGCGTCACCTCCTCTCCGAAAACGGAGGACGTGCTGCTAAAACCACTCCCTGCCGGGGTCTTGCACACGGCCCGTCGGCATTGGCCTGTAGAACTCCTACAAGAGCCCGCGCATGCCGACTTCCGTGTGGCCACTATGGCCGCTGACAAAAAAACAAACAAACGGAATTCCAAAATGAAGTGGAAACATGGACCAAAACCTGTGGTTTGCCCCTCCGATCGTTTAATTTTGAGCCACACCCAGATGTTTTTTGTTTTTTTTTGGCTGCGACAAACGTGCAAAGACGCGGTGTGACTGGCAAATCCACTGCACCCAAGTGACACAGTGACACTCTAGTTCGGTTTTGTTGGCTTTCTGAGGGTGGGGGAACACCGAAGAAATTATGCCAATCACCCCGCCACCCTCCCAGCCTGTGGGATGTCGCCCAAAGACATGACGCCTGGCGGACTGTGTGCTTCAAGGGAGGGTCTGGGAGGAAGAGCTCGCCTTTGGCTTAGCTTCATAGCTTCATAGAATGGACTCCCTCACTGGGAGGTGTTCGCCTCAACTCATTTGCCGGAACGCCAAAGGATGGGAGCTGCAACCTCGGGGTCCAAATATATACTTGCCCAATCTCGGTTGTTCCGACGCCGACAATCATGTACCAGGATGGCCCATAACTTGGTGAGCCTTCAAAGCTAGGGATGCTCTTGGGGATAGCTTCAGTGGGGAGTCAACATTCAGTCAAACATTTGAAGGCCCGGATGTTCGAAACATTGCGAAGGCAACCTTCCCCTCAGAAAGTCGCAAACGGCACAGCAGCGGGCATGCCCACGAGAGGCCGCACAAGCATTCGCGCGCAACACATCCATGGATCCTAGTTCATTCCCGAATGGATCCTAGTTCATTTGGATTTGTGGCTTCGAGGCAATGGCGGGATTTACCGGTCCTTTTGGCTTCAGAAGGAAGGGTTCCACTTCCCTTCACCCTCTCACTTCCTGAGTGGAGTTGCAAAAAAAGTCAAAACTTGCTATTGTCCACTCAAAATGTCCTAGGTCCTCCAGCAGAGAGTTTAGAGTACCATTTTTTCTGCAGTCTATTTTAGTAGGGGAACCCTAGCGGGGGACCTAGTTGTCTTACAAGCCCCTAAGGTCCGAAACGGAACCTCAGGCCGCCCCTCCGAGCTTGGGAAGGAGGGGTTTGAGAGGGGCGAACGGGTGCCAGCCCTCGGTAAGTCCATGCCAGAGGCCGCCCATGTCCAGGATCTCCGCGCAGAGGTCCACGGCCGCCTCGCCTGGCGCCAATGGCCGTGGGTCAGCACCAATGAAGCCCCATTTTCACTGCGGAATTCGTGTGGGGGCCATCATGGCATGAGTTCGACGGAATTCGTGTGAAATTCTATGGATAGTTGGTGCCCAATTTGGCTGAGACAAAGGCTTGGTTGCGGTAACGACCCCTCTGCAAAAAGGTTTAACTTGTGGCGTCAGTGGGAATCACAACTTTATTTCAACCAACAAGTTAAAGTCGAAAGATCCAACCCAATAGCAATCAAGATGTTTGCTTCCGGAGAGATTTCAACACCAACAAGGATGAAAGGGGGGCAGGGAGCCCAAATAAGGACTTGTTGAAGGCTTAAAAAGACAATTTGCGCTCCCGCGCTCTCCCCCCCCCGGCCCCATCATGGGTGTTTCGAGAGAAAAATGTCAATGAGGTTGTTCGGTTTCAAAGAGAAACCCAATAAAAGTGGATCCCACCTACTTATGTTTTTTTGTGACATCTTGTGACCATAAAGACTCTTGTGGCTTCAGCATCACGGTGGAAGGGAGGGAACCAAGCCGGTTTGGGAACAAGCAGCTCGCAAAACCAGAACTCATGCGGGCACAGAGGGCTAAAGAGTCGTGTGGTTTTCTATTCGCTGTCTCGATTGCAACTGTCCTCCCTTTTCAACGTTACAACAAAGACAATATAAGATGCACACAGTCACACAGTTCGCCAACAGCATGTTTCAAGATTCAAGAGCAAATGTCCACAAACTACCCGTACGCATGAAGAACAAGCTCTCCAGTAAGCTTAACTTTGTTATTGTTCAACGCCGTCCAGCAACCAACACCCTATGCAACAAACAACCACTGGGGAAACATGATAACTCCACCAAGCCTGAACCCACATGAAATCAGGCTGGAACCCGCCCTTATTCAGACCAAAACCGCTTGAATTTCGCAACCTTCGGCAACCTTCACCCGCTCAATGCTAAAAAAACGAGTGGACCTCGCGCGGGTATCTGATTCCATCCTGGGGAATCATCCTGTTTTCCCACTTCAAGGGTCCCTTGCATTTTTCCGCTTGGTTTGAGCCCGCTGGGACGCCCGCTGCTGGTGGAGTAGGCGAAAGACTTG